TGCTTTGGTCTTGACTATCTTGAACAGTTTAGTATCGTCCGCAAACTTTGCCACCTCACTGCTTACCCCTTTCTCTAGATCATTTATGAGTAAGTTGAATAGGATTGGTCCTAGGACTGACACTTGGGGGACCCCACTAGTGACCCCTCTGCATTCTGACAATGTACCATTTATTCCTACCCTTTGTTTCCTGTCTTTTAACCAGTTCTCAGTCCATGAAAGGATCTTCCCTCTTATCCCATGACAACCTAATTTACACGAGAGCCTTTGGTGAGGGACCTTGTCAAAGGCTTTCTGGAAATCTAAGTACACTAGATCTACTGGATCCCCCTTGTCCGCATGTTTGTTGACCCCTTCACAGAACTCTAATAGATTAGAAAGACAGGATTTCCCTTTACAGAAACCATGTTGACTTTTGTCCAACCTGCTCTTCAACATCTCCAGTGTTGGAGATTCCACAACCCCCCTGGGCAATTTATTCCAGTGTGTAACCACGCTGACAGGCAGGAAGTTTTTCCTAATGTCCAACCTAAACCTCCTTGGCTGCAGTTTAAGCCCATTGCTTCTTGTCCTGTCTTCAGAGGCCAAGGGGAACAATTTTTCTCCCTCCTCCTTGTAGGTACTTGCTTAAAACTACCTGCGTCAAGGCAGCGCCATCGCGGTTTCCCAGTAGGCGACTGCAGCTTATAAAGTTTAATCCAAACTCCCCGGGGAGTTGGGGCAGAGATGCCGCAGGGATCTGGAGCGTTCCTGTCCCACTCGCCTCAGGGCGGCCTCGGCCGCTGGGAAGTGCTGCAGCATCTGCAAAGGCCACAAACGTTCAGCCCCTCCCTCCTGCGTGCCGTGGAAGTGTTCTGCGCTCCAGAACCCCGAGTGCTCCTCCAGAGTCAGTGCCCCGTCGCCAGCTGCCCGGCTGTGGGGGCTTGGCCGTGGCCGACTGATGATGCGGAGTCCCTGGATTTACCAGACAAGTGACCCCCCCCCCCAGCAGGTTCCTCCTTCGCTCGGCTGGGGGGAAACACGCTTGGCCAGCCCTGGGGGGGAGGGCTAGCTCTGCTTTGAGCACTGGCCTGCTAAACCCAGGGTTGTGAGTTCAATCCTTGAGGGGCCATTTAGGGATCTGGGGCAAATCTGTCAGGGATGGTGCTTGGGCCTGCTGTGAGGGCAGGGGACTGGACTCGCTGGCCTTTCAGGGTCCCTTCGCTCGGCTGGGGGGAAACACGCTTGGCCAGCCCTGGGGGGGAGGGCTAGCTCTGCTTTGAGCACTGGCCTGCTAAACCCAGGGTTGTGAGTTCAATCCTTGAGGGGCCATTTAGGGATCTGGGGCAAATCTGTCAGGGATGGTGCTTGGGCCTGCTGTGAGGGCAGGGGACTGGACTCGCTGGCCTTTCAGGGTCCCGTCCAGCTCTGAGAGAGCCGGGAAGTTCATCTCTCTCCCCAGCAGACGCCGGTCCCGCAAAGAGACGACCCCGCCCACCTCGTTTCCGTTTCCTCAGCAAGGAAAGCCCAGAGCTCCAGGCCTGGATTCTTCCTCCGCTACCTCAGGCCCGGGGGGAGCCCCCGCTACTCCCCTTGCACTCCTCACGGCAGCCAATCTCGTTGCCTCTGCCCAGGCCCTAGGCGGGCACGGGGTGGCTTCCTGTCACGGGCTCCGTGTGAGGACAGGACTCCCTGGGGAGAGGGGCTCTGCCCCAGCTCTCACGTGGGCCAGTGGCAGCATCTGCAGCAGCACACCCTGGGCTGATGCTCCACGTTTGTGGCCTCCGGCCTCCTCCCCCTGCTTTTCCCATGATGCACTGGCACAAGCTGGATTAGTCCGCGGGGTCAGTGCAGACACGCCAGCGCCACTGCCCCGTGGCTGTGTGGCGCGGCCGTGCGGACGCCGGCTCAGAGGAGTGTGTGGGCAAACAGCCGAGACACTGCCCCCCTCCCTGTTGGGGCTGCCCCAGGCCTGTCTTTCCTGCTGGGCTTGAGGAGCACGGCTGCTTGGAGCCCTCTGGCGGGGCAGCCCGAGGAGAACTGGTTGTGCCGGGGACGATTTGATCCACTTTCTCCGTGGATAATGAAACGGCCTGACAGCTGCCAGGCAGCTTGGCGTGGCACGTGTCGGTGTTGCGAGCCCTCCCGGGCAGCAGGGCTATGACGGGAGGCCCCCCAAGAAGACCCTTGAGACTGAAGTAAAATGAGCTCAGCTGCACACTTGGTGCTTTCATCCTTGTCTGCCTGCCACGGAGGGTCCCTCGAGGGCCGTTCCAGGAGGGCGAGTGCTCCGGGGCAGGCCCTGTTGAGGTGTGGCAAAGGGAGCTGGCTCTGTGTCCGTGGCAAACAAGCCAAGCCTGACCATTTCTAAAGCTCGGGGGGCCGGGAGGGGGGGGTGGATATTCTGTAACTGGGAAGACTTAAAAAGCAACGAATGGTCCTGCAGCACTTTAGAGACTGACCAAACATGTCGGGCGCCTCGGTGGGCACAGCCCACTTCTTCCGATGCCGGCTCTCGTTCGTGGATCTCAGTCACCGTGGTCTTTCAGCCTGAGAACTTCACTTCCTTCACCGGTTTGATTCCTACCGCAAAGCTCTGAGGAAAGGCATTGGCTGGATGGCTGTTAATTCCACACCCTAATGACATCGAAAACCAAACCATGGGGACTTAATTTGCACCATCGCTATCCGCTTCATGTAGCATGGACACTCTAATTGACTACTTCTTTCCCCGTTTTTTTCCGTCTCTTCCCCCCTCCCCCGGCCCATCAGCTATTTATAGAGAACCTGGATCTTTAGTAACTCCAGTCATCTGAAGAAGTGGGTTGTGCCCATGAAAACTCATGTTACCATCTCCGTGTTTTGTTCGTCTTTAAGGTGCTGCAAAACTATTGGTGGTTGTTTAAGTTGAACATTTCTATTCAGGGCAGCGCTTCATGGGAGTGCTCATTTGAGTGCCTCATGCCTCATTCTCCTTCTATGAGCTGGGCACCCCAGGACTACATCATCGGTGATGCATTGTGAATTCCCTTGCAGTGCAACATGGAAAGTGTAGTCCAGTTAAGAAGCTCGTCCCATTGGAGACTGGGGGCCTGAGATACCTGAACTACGTCTCCCATGACACGCTGCAGCTTTTTGAATTCTCTTGTTTGTCTGTTTCTGGGTGTTTAAATACTTTGCTTTCCACAGAAAGTTGGGTTTTTCAGCAGACACCTTTTGCAGAAAACTGTCCAAAGAAGCCACAAATAAAATAAAAATAGTTTCCACCAGCCTGTAAGAGTAGTTTCCAGCTCTTAATCTCTCTCTCCTCCTGCTTGAAGTATCCAATTAGCTGATTGTCTAAAATCAGCTACATTAAAACAGCCCTGATTCCTTCCATGAAAAACCAGCGTCTCATTACCACACGTTGAGTGGACTAGCTCTACCCCTTGTCTTTCTCTGGTGCTATTTCCATATTTGATACAGCTGTGTGGGAGTCTGATTCGGAAGGAGCTGCGCTTTTGCTATGCTGATGTGTTGTCTGCGTGTGCATTACGCTGCTAAATACAGTATTCCCCTGTTGCTTCCTGCCCTTTATTTGAAGCCGGCTGTTGCTTTCTTCTAATAAGCAAATTACCAGGCTCCGGAAGCAGCGGTGACTTTGTTTTCAACCTCCTAATGCTCTTAAACTCTTTTGCATTAAGCCCTTCAGCCTTTCTCTAGCAGTGGTGTGCGGAATAATAATATGAGCAAATCACGGCAGCTTGCTTCTGCGTGCTCTTTGTGGAGTCGAGCCGTGTGTCTAATGGGCCCTAATTGGAAGACGTTGAGAGACGCTGCCCGTAACGGAAATTGTTCCAAGAACTGTGGTTCTGCGTGGTGTTTCTGAGCAAGACACTGACTCTTAGCTGCTTGGCACCCCCTGCTGGCTGCCCCTAGGGTGGCATTTGCAAGCAGCAAGTCTTCCTTTGTCTGGGGCTGGAGGCTGTTCCGGGATCAGGGACGTGCTGGAAATTGACAGCCCAAAGACCGAAAGCCCTGTTGCCTCATCAGCATGCGGCAAAGCTGTTGGCTCGCTGCCCTGGGGGCTGGCTGGTGGCTGTCAGGCAGGAGCCAGGCTCGGCGTGAGGGATGAATAGTCCATGCGGGAATAGTTCTCCTTTGGGCCCGTCTGTACAGAGCGTGGAGGTCTGCCCCGGGCCAGGGTCCGAGGTGGGGCTGTTCGCTAGTCATTGGCAAATAGACCGGAGTGCCTGTCTGTGCGAGTTTGGGATGTGCCCCCACTGCAGTGTATAATGCTCCTGGCACATCATTAAGCCGTGTCTAATTAACAGGTGCAGGTTAAGCTGTGGCTACCGGTCCTGTAAGCTGGATCACTTGAGGTGTTGTCTTCCAGGAGACCCTGGATGGCTGCACCCCCACGGATTGTGGGTTTCCTAGGTCTGATCAAAACCAGGCATGGATTGGGGTCCCCTGAGTTTCTGATGACTCGGAATTCCATGGGGCGGGAGTCACCCTGCGAACGCCCCGCCCCAGTCTGCGACACTCTGTAAATTCCAGACTATCTGCTACCAGGGCTAGTAATTGGTAAGCCACAGCAGGGAGCTGGGCTAGGCAAGGTTCCCTGTGCAGGGGCACGGTCCCGCAGCCGCTGAATGAGCCCCACCCAGCCAGGGGCTCAGGGCGCATGTTGCTGCCTGACTGGGCGGGGCTGATTAAGCAGCTGCAGGGAGGTGCTGCCACGCAGCTTAGAGGCAACCTTGCTGCTAGGGATGGGCCGGGCGCTCAGCGACAGAGCAGCAATGCAAGTTGGCCGCGCACCGTTTTGTAGAAGAGACACTCCTCTGTGAGCAGCGCCGAGCTGCCGGGCCGCCTGGGCTCCTGGAAACGCAGAGCTGCGGGACAGGGCGGAGGCCTTCTGGGGTCTGCTCTGGCATAGCACTGAGCAGTGTAGTCTCTGAGCTTAGCCTCACGGCCGCGCACTCTCATTGCATCGCCCACGGGGAAACTCAATGAGATCTCTTCTCTCTTCCTTTGCCCAGTGGAGTCCTGCCCGCGGAGCTTGGACTGCGCCCTGCAGCGAAGGGAGTTCTGCCCGGCCGGGTCCCATGCCTGCGGCCCCTGCCTCCAGCAGTTTGTGGAAGATGGACATGGCCATTGCGTCCAGAGGAAATGGTCCTCCGCTGGTAAGTGTGTGTGGGCAACGGGCCGTCCTGCTGGCTCCGCGTAAGCGCCCTCCACGCGCCGCGCTCGCCCCCGCCCGTGCCGGTCTCCACGCTGCCTTCGATGGGCTTGTGAAATCGGATCCGTGACTGAATGTGGTGCGGAGCGGGGGCACCCTGCACGTGGTGGCGTGAAGCAGGGCCTGCTGCATTGGTAGATCCCTGCCGGGTACATTTGTATCAGTCGTTGCTCCTTTTCGCGGATCCCGCCGATCAGCCCGCGTCTCCGCACAGGCGGATACCTGTTGGGATTGACTGGCTGCCTCCTGCTGTCCGTCCGTCCGTTCGTTCGTTCGCACGGGGGCCTGTGCGGGTCGGCTCCGAGTCCCCGCCTGCGCGGCTGCACCACGTCGCTTAGCCCAGACCCCTCGCTGTGCTGGGGCTGACGCCAAGTCTGAGCGTAGCTGGCTGCCGGGAGAGACCGGCCAGTGTCTGGTAGATGGCAAGGCCTGGTTGCCCTCAGTCAGGTGCAGTAGCGGCACCCAGAAGCAGTCTGCACTGCGCAAGCACGTCAGCCTTGGGGATGGATTAGCAGCAGCAGCAGGAAATACAACCCCCCCCCCCCCCCC